GAACGCAATAAAATTTGACATAAAGAAATTTATTGTAAACTTAAAACTTCCTACCAATCGGTCTATAAGTGATCGTTCTCCCCATACAAAATCCCCTTCAAAAAATTACTTTAACGATAATTACTGCCTTAAAAATACGATATAAAGAACGCAATGAAATTTGATAAAACGTTTCTTGGAAATTTAAATTTTTCTACCGAATTTCAGGAGGATCGATAGATAACTAATTTTACCCCTCATATGATGCCCCTTCAGAAAATTGCTTTAATGGATATTATCAGCATAAAAAAGGCCAAAACCACAAAGTAGAGGAATTAGACCAAGAATACTTTTTTATTTGATACAATGAAATTGGTATAAACTCAAGGTAACTTAAATACATTTTCTGTCATACAGTTGTAGATACGAAACCACTGTTCTTTCTATTTGTAAATAATAAATTGGTTTACTCTAGATTTCTAAAAAATTTGTCCACAGAACAAACGCGATTGAAAAACTGTCTATGAAAAAATAAAAAGTGAAAAAATATGACAACAATCAATGAATATTTCAAACAAAACCGCATACAACTAAACAACATAAAAACAAATATACAAATATGAAGGCAAATTTCGAAAAAAAAACACAGCTGTTACAAAACCGCGCACACACACATACACACTTGTATAAACTCAAACAAAAACCAATACCATAGTGGCAGTATAAACTAACGGTATTCATATGAGTGGCTTTGACTCAGACAACAGATTTCAAGTTACGCGCTTTTTTTTTTTGGTTTATTTTCCAGTGTCATGTGTGTGTAGGAAAAAGGAAACAGAAATTGTAAGGCTTAATGTGAAATAAGTTGGATTCGTGTTTGTTTGCTTGTTAGTGTGTGATATATTTCAACATATTTTATGGCCGTTACTTTGATATGCACATAATTTTAGTAGTTTTATTTTTATTTTTAGTTATTTGCAAATTTTTTTCGTGTGTGTTTTTTGTGAATTACTTTTTCCCAAAGCCTGATGGAACTTTATGTTGTTATACATTATAAATGTTTATGTGAGTGTGCTTGTGCTTTTTCCAATACTGCAACATTTTTTTCTTATTCTGCTTGTAATTTTTTGTATATGGCCAACAGCAAAAAACAACCACAAATACAAATAAATAGTTAATTTTTTTTATTTTTATTGTAAATTCGTTTCATTTTTGTTGCTTCTGTTCCCTCTTTGGTTACGAAATATGAGAGAATATGTATATGAATGTATGTATGTACAAATGTGGATATGAAGCTTGCTGGTGATACTGATGAAATTCCCTTTACAAGTTTTGGTTTTTGTTCATCTGCTTTAGTTCCTTCCTGTTGGCGAAAAGGCACGTTTATTTTATGAATGTATTCAATTTTTGTGTTTGTTATTTGTGTATATTATATACATATGTATATGTATGTATGAATAAATGTTTAAATATATGATACAACATGTTGTTATTGCTGGTGTCTTTTTTTTATGAAATTTAAGTGAAATCACTTAAAATCTTACTCAAATAGAAGATGAAATAATAAAAAAAAAAAACTAAAAAAAAAGAACAGAGAGTAACACAGCACAAACAATTCTTAAATTTTTATCCATAACAAACATATTCCATATAAATATGAAAATATTTACCATATAAAACATTCAACAATATGTTTTACTACAATCTTCATGTTATAAATATGTAGTTATTCTTCGAAATCTTCGGAAAACAAATAAAATAAAATTGAATTCAATCCGTAGCAGAGCGATTGCAAAAGAAGGGATGTAGTATGTACAAACATATGATGATGATGGGTTTAATACATAAAATACTTGAATTGAATTCAAGTGGTAGTCTATAAAAATATGATTTGTATTTATTGGTATTCATGAGTACGGTTGCATGAATATGAACGGCTGTTTGTTATGTAATTGTTTTACCAATTCAATTCAATTTATATATTTTCTGTAACAAATATAAATTGTTGTGTTTATTGTGGTTTGAAAATGTGTTATGTTTTATTTGATATCTTTCTGTTCTCCATTTAATAATTTATTAAGTAATTGATTTTAAGTGAACAATATAAAATTTCTTCGTATGTTTGTATGTTTGCCTTAAAGTAGGCAATGTTTTTTTTTTGGCCTAAGGTAGGAAAATATAATTAAGCATAAAATTCTTTGTATATTTTATGATCAAAGACAGGCATATTAAGAAATTCTAGGAAATTTAACAATATAAAGTAAAAAATGTGCAAAAAGTTGACTGTTAAGTCACAGCAACTCAACCACTATTTATTTCTAAAATGGATCTAATTTTCATTATATTGATTAGCTTTTATTCCAATTTTATTTGCAACAAATAAAATCGTTTAAGTTTAACTAACCTAATTTTAAAAGTATTTTTAAAACAACGTATATACTCTCAGTTATTTTATTTCTAGGGCACGACAAATTTAATGCCAACTTTCAATCATTTCCAATAACACCATTAAATATATGGGCAATTTCGTATCAAGTGACCCCATTTAAAATATCAATTTGGATGAAATTTGCACCAGTTGGAGAAATAACTATCTAAAGTCCTTTGGACAATTTTTGGTAGGACCAATAGGTGAAAAGTTACAATCATTTGAAATAAACCCTGTATGAATAAAATGCCTAACTTGAACCCCCCCTTTTACATCGGCAGTTCTTAACCGATATAGCAGAGAATTTGTGTCTGGTCTACTATCCAATAGTACTAACCTTGACACGAAATTGCCCATATAAATAAATTTAGCAAACTCAGTAAAATACAGGACATCACAACAACAACAAATTTTAAATTCATTATTTATTTCTCGCTCAAATTTGAACAATATTTACTAATTTGACAACATATACTCAAAATGATATTTGATACCTGTTAGTCAAAAACATTTTTGCAAATATGTTTGATGAAACACTTTTAATATTAGTAGACTTATACACACACATACATATATACAACTAAATAATCAGTGATTAAAATTTTAAAAATACCAAATGCCATGTGTATTATATATTGTGGTAATTTGTGGTCTTAAATTTTGCAAAATAGATTGGGTTTAGAAATGACAGTTGAAAATTAGAAAATTTAAATTAAAATAACTGTAGTGCTGCGTTTCGTTTAAACACAAGTTTAAGTTGATAAACTGTAACTATGAATTTTCCAAAAACAGGTCCAATTTTTACACTGATATTGAAACACGAATGTCGAAGTGCTTTACGTGAACACCTGCCCTGAGGGCCTTATTTCACGGTGGCCTTTTTCAACTACTGGGTGAGCGTTTGTGACGACTCACCACCGCCCCATTGTGATTATTACTTGCAGGTGGCAATTTACATATACGGAAGTTCCGATCCTGTATACATGCACTTTGCTCAAGTACTTGAGCTATCTAATCTCTAACTTTTCTGCCCGTTGCTTAACTTCCGAGATGCAAAAACATCACTTCCGTTTATAACCACGGAGATGGAATGGCCTCTGTTGAGTCGGCAAAAGCAAAGTAGATACTCAGCAAGAACTCGGTAATGGCTTGTACTTACATAACCACTTACTTTTCAAATACTACTACTTACCGCCTGCATTATTTTTAAGTACCCTTATAATAGCTTTTCTGTGTGACAAACCATTATTGGACGCAGAATAACATAACTAAGCAGTGGTGTTGTGAGAAAGAAAGCGATATAACGAACAGAAGCCCAGGTTCGTATTCTGTGTGAACAATTCCTTATTTGTAAGTATTTATTTAAGTAGTGATTTGTAAGCGAGCTTGGTAATGCCGTTCCTCCAATGTTATCACCGTGTTAAAATAATGAGTTAAAATGCTAATAAAGAACACATTACTTTTCAATGTAAGTTTTTCCTGTGTAGTTTTCTGTTGATAATAGAAAATTGAGTGTTTCAAAAATATATAACATTTTTTTAAAATCTTAAAAATTGGAAGAAAATCTTTTTTCCGTAATTGGACCCATAGGGTCCAGATTCAAAACCTAAAATCGAAAGACCTTCTTCTGTACGCTTGTGAAATTTTATTCATATCGGACTAACAATCTAGACCCTTTATTTTTGATCCATCCCACTGTGCATCAAATACTCTAAAACTAATTTATTGCAATCTGCATCTTTTTTCAAAAAATTCTCGGAATATCAGACTATTTCCTCCACGCAAGTATTTTGGATCTCTTATCTAATCAAAAATTTACTTGAATATCGATATCTCAGTCTGTTTATGTCTTTTTTTTTTTTGAGAGGATCCAGAAACATCGATATAATAGACTCCGGATAATTTCACAAAATCTAATTATTTTTTGATAAATATTTAAGGATTATGGTCCATTTGAAGAATAGCTTAAAGGGAAGGTTTGGATAGTGCCACGGATCTAATTGTTTCCATCTAAAAAGTGTCTTGAATGGATGATTTTTACCATCTAAAATGTATCTCGGAATACACAGTGGGCCAAAATCGAATTTTTTTGGAAATAAATCTGACGTTTTTAAAGGGCTTTGAGGATAAGTTTTGAAAATGGAATGAATAGTTAAAATTTTTATTTTTTTATTTTTATAAATTCTATAAAAATATCAAATTTTTCTTTATAACGCATTAATTTTATACAAATCGGTAATGACCAACGAAAAAACTTATAAATTTAAAATTGTTCAAAAATTGTAACTTTATTATTTAAGAAAAATCACAATTTGTTCCACTTTATAACACTTAAGTCTTTCCTGTTTTAATTACATAATTTTCTCCACAGAAATAGTGCGAACAATAAAATTTATCTCCCTGTTTGTTGTAAACATCAACTACAATAATAAAGTTTATTAAAACAAACTAACATTCCCGCAAGTAAAAATTTCCAAACCACTTTCTTCACTTCTTCAGCACACCCTACTTAGTTACATAAATAACCCGTTAATGTTTTTTCTAGCATTCCACACAAAAACACTATTAAAATTATAGAAAAAATGTATCTTACCTCGATTTGAAATGGCAGCTTCAGCGGTGTTCCACAATAGACATGAGTGCAGTAAACAAACGAGGCTAATTACGAATAAAAAACGACGACAATACTTTTTCATTTGTGGATAAACTGCTGCAGCACCGGAAAGTGAACAGGCTGACGTAGATGCAAAAGACGACGACAAGGGTAAAGACGTTACAGCAACACCTAAAAACGATGATGATGCTGCAATAACTTCTAAAGATTTTGTTGTTGTTGCTGATGATGTCAACAACAATGATGAGCTTTTAGTTGGTATTATTGTTGTTGCTGTCTCTGAAATTGGTTTTGTATGTGTTGCAGTAAAAGTGGCATTAGCATATTTAGCAGGCATTTTAGCGAAAGTGTGGCTGATGCTAGTGGCTGGTGCTTTAGTTGATATTGTTGCTTTTGGTGGTAGTTGTTTTAGTGTTGCTGCTGTTGTTGTTTTATTATCTTCATCTTCTATATAAGAAGAACCGTAATAATATTGTTTGTTGTAGTTGTTAAAATTAGTTAAAGGCATTATTGTGTGTGTGTTTTGTAAAAAGTTTCGTTTTTTCCACTAGAAAACAGAGCCTATCTTAAGGCTTAACAAGTTGGTGAATGTTTTTAAACTATTTATTTTCTAACTTTTTCTTTAATTTGTTTTTATAGTTTTTTTACACTGATTTCAGTTAGTTAATAATATTGTATTTATTTAACTTTAGTTTAATATTATTTTAACATTTTGTTCATTTAATTTTATTATTAAATTAAAGCCTAAGGTCAACACTGATTTTATTAAGCTGTTAATTGCATTAAAATTTCTTTTATATAACATACTTTTAGGGAATTTTCATTTTTTTATAATTACCATTTAATCATTACTAAATACATTGGGGAAAAAATCAATTAATTATATTATATTTCTGTTAATTTTTATTACAATCTTTTTTTAATAATTATTTAATTGTTATTGAACAATTTTATTTGTGTGTGTTTCTGCAGTTGAACGAATGGCAGTAATTTTATTACATGGCAAACGATTTCATTTTTTTAATGATTAAAATTCTGTGTAAATTTCGTTGTTTAGTTTAAATACCTGAAAATAAAAAATAAAGAGAATTTAAAATTATTTAATTAGTTTTACAGTAAGTTATGTGCTGTAAAAAAACTAATGTATAGAAATTTAGTTTTTAACCTAATTCACTTTCAATTTGTCATAATTCTAACGTAAATAATTTGTTTTTTTTTTTGTGCCATTATTTTTCCATGGACATAAATAAATGTTTTTTTTATTTGTTCTAACAAAAAATCTCCCCTAGTTTTTGTTAAGGTTTATAGTAAAAACCATTTGTTGCTGGCACTGTAGCATTAACAATTTGTGTAAAATAATTCACACACAAAAACCTTTAATTTAATTTAAACACACAAGCAATGGAGAGCAAGGATAGAGGTAAATTCGTTAATTGTTTTAAGTTGAGAAATATATATGCAGGATATTTGTTTTTTTTTTTTTTTTTGACTCTGCTAAAATTTTGCTCATTTCTGTTACACACACTCAAGTATGCCTACCTACTACTCATGTGACTTTTATAATAGTTTTTATAAATTACGTGAGTTTTACTAAATATTTTTAATTTTTTAGTTGCATATAATTTTTTTGCTCTATTCTATTAGATTGAAAATTACCTGGTTTTGTTAAAAAGCCATAAAATTATTGTATTATCACTAGATGTTATTAACAGGAAACCACAGCAACAACAACAACAAAAACACATCAAAACAGGACTTGATTTGTTAAGTGTTAAGAGGGGGGGAGGTTCTAATATTTTTTGTTATTAAAAAGTTTTGAACATTTTTTAATTTAATGTAAAGCATGCTATTAGGGGCAGTATAAAATAAAACTTTTCATACATATTTTGAAGGGAAATTATAAAGTTTTGGTTTGTTTTACCAAACAGAATTAAATAAATTTAAATAAATGTATAAGTAAATAGAATTAATGTAAAAAAAACAAAATTGTAATAATAATTCTATAAAGTTAATTAAGGGAATTTAAATAAAATGCTGCCTAGTTTAAGGGGCTTATATTAAGAGCTTACGAATATATTCACAACTTACAGAATTCTTAATTTTTTGGGAGTAGTTTTTAAGATTAGTATGCGATTAATAAGTTTCTAGCAAATTTACTACGAATTATTGAAATTCGAAAATTTACTATAAAAAGTGATTGTTTTTAAAATTTTCTATAGAAAGTAAAAATTTTCGAAAATTTTGGAAATTAAGTATTTTTTTTTTTTTTTATTTAACAAATTCTTATAAAAAAGTCTGATGCATGTGTAATAATTTATTAACAAACTTTTTATAACATTTTATTTCATATTTTTACATACTGATATTTTTATTTCTTTGGCAGAATCTCTCTCTACTCCCACCTAAAATTACTTATTTATTTTGACAACAATAAATAAATTTTATATATGTTGACATTTGAATGTGATTTATGGCGGTTTTATATATGAGGCATACGTTTCCAACGAATACACACCGAAGACAGACAGGGAGAAAGAGTTTAAAGATTTATGGTAAATTAATATTTAATATATTTTTCAATAATAAAACAATTGAATTGGTTTAATAAAAAGAAAAGACCATAAATGTGGTATTAAAGACCCAAATAAATGTTTTATGATAAAAAATAAACATATTAAATATTAAAATAAAAAAAATATATACATATAAATAAACATATAAGTCAGTCTTTCTTTATGTACTTAGGATGCAAATTAAACAAAAAATCAATAAATTTTTTATGTAATTTAAGATATACATATAGTTATAGTATTTGTTGAGGCCCGCGACAGCGCCTCCGAGACAGCAGATGAAGACTGCCTTGACTTGGACATAGAGCCCCTACTTTAAATGTGCCCCTTCTGCTCGCTACGCTTCTGAATGGTGCTTAAGGAGATTGACAGGTGTCAAAAACTGACGTCCTGTCAATCAACTTAAGCGTCATTGCAGTTTTTCTTTAATAAAAAAAAAACCTCAGCAGCGTCAGCAGCAAACAAACCCTAAAACCCAAACCTGAAAATAAAGGAAGTTATAACGTTTAACCAAACCTGTGTTCTTACTCACCTTGAACCACAAGTAAGTGCAACCTGCATTTTATTTCCAAAGTTAATTATTTGTAAATAATTAACTTTGGTTTTGTGTTGTTTCAACTACGTTGAAACAGCTCCAACAACAAATTTCCCTACTAGAGACAGAAATTTGTTTATGGTCCTTAAAAGCCTTTGTATTGAACTGGTGACCAAACAGTAGTTTAATTATCTGAAATTATTTTTTTTTCCTTTTCGTTTTTGAGCTTTAAATATTCTCACATTTTTTTGTTTTGTTTCTTGGCACATTAAAATAATCAAAAATAAAAACACATACATATGTACGTACATCCATTGTTGTTTTAAAGTGGGAAATAACCAACAATCAAAGTGCGGTTGATTTTAGAATTGTTTAAACCCAGTAAATTTATTATTTATAAAATACTACTACGTGGTAATTCATAAATATTTAACAAAAAAAAAAAAAAAAACATACATTATAAAATAGTTCCGCGCATTTACAGTGCCAGCGGTCATTCAAATAAGTAAGGTTCTATAAATCGACTCTAAAACAAAGTCGAAAAATTAACTATCTTGTAAGAAATAAGTCGAAGAATCAATTTCACAAAAAAAAAAAAAAAAAAAAAAAAAGTCGACTATTTATTAGACGCAAAAAAGTCGAAAACCTGACTTTTCATAAACAGCAAAAAGTCGAAAAGTCAACTTTTTTTGATTCAACTATAGAACCGTACAAAGAAGTATTTGAACTAAATTATATTGTATTTTCCGCGCAATTTTACAAATTGCCTGCGGTTCTTATAGAAATAATAATAGTAAAAGGAAAATTGGTCATACCTTTTGCAATATTTGTTTAATTAATCTATATGCTATTACTAAAACTAGCTGAGGTTTTATATAAGATTGAAAATTTATAACAACCAAGTTATTACGTAAATACATCGCGAATCCATTGCGATTTCATTTTAACAATTAGTTATTTTATTAATATATTTTGATGATAAATTTGTCAAAGTTACTACGTAACGTAAAAGAGTGATAAATTCGGAAAGTTTAATTTCTAAATTACTACTACGTGGTAATTGGACGAAATTTAAGAACAAGTTACTACGTAACAGAGAAAAAATTTTTTTGCTAATCAATGACATTTTCATTTTACAATAACCAAGTTATTACGTAAAATAAGTGTTTCATAGCAAATTCTTTCCGATTTCATTTTAACTGTTAATCAGTTTAATAATAAATTCAAATTAACAAATTTGCAGTTAAGTTACTACGTAACGTAAAAAAGCGCTTAATTTGAAAATTTTAACTTCTAAATTACTACTACGTGGTAATTGGAAATATTTTAAGAATAAGTTACTACGTAACGGGAAAAAATATAAAAAGTCTGCTAAACCTTAGCAATTCACTTTTATTGATCAGTTGGTAATAATTGAGCATATTTACTAATAAACCATCGGTCAAATTAAAGTTCAACATATAATGGGTAGTCAAGCTCACTCAAAATTTGTCATAGAGACAGATAATTTATTTGATGAATGCGAAAGTTTCTCAAAATTGCATGCAGAAGATTTAACAGAATCTTTGGTAGAGGCAAAATTAGAATCTTTAGAGGAAGACTGGAAGACGATTCGAACATCCTATGAGGCGATATATAGTGCGGCAGATTCCTTAATATCGCCCGAATTTAAAGAGTTATCACGAACTAGGTTTCGAGAATGTAGAGAGAAATATCAGTTGACAAAAGCGAGTATGAATGACCTCTTAAAAGCTGCAAAGAGCCCACCTACAGTACAAACTGACCCATATCATTCTTCTACATTAGGTGGCTCATCATTTTATCCAATGAATACTACATTCGACTTATCAGAAGTAGGGTTACGTGTTCCTGCTTGTGATATTAAGGTCTTTAATGGTTGAAAAGTTTTTCCACTTGCTAAACAAAACTTCGGGAGATGCATTGGCAATTGTTCGAAAATTCAGTTTGTCGGAACAGAACTACATGCCAGCTTGGAACGCTTTAAAGTCGAGATATGAGAACAAAAAATTTTTAGTAGAAATTCAGATGAAAACTCTATTTAATTTAGAGCCAGCCAAATCAGAGAATAGTGTCGATATTAACAGGATAAGAACAACTATATGTGATTGTTTATCAATGTTAATAGGACATGGTATACGAGTGGACCAATGGGATCCAATTTTGGTATATTTGTGCAGTACAAAATTATCTATTCAAACCATTACTGCTTGGGAAGAGTCTTTAGAATCCGATTCTGATTTGCCATCCTGGCATCAAATGGATACTTTTTTAAAAAGTAGACACCGAGTATTGGAAAGAATAGAAATGGCACGTGACCAAATGTCGGCAAACGAATCAAGTCACAAAGGTGATCAAAAGCCTGGAACTAGTAAAAATATCAAAAAGAGAACAGACACAAATAGTCAGAACTTATGTGTATTTTGCAACGAAAATCATTATCTAAGAAATTGTAGAAAATTCTCTGATTTAACTGTTAAGCAGCGAGTTGATTTTGTAGAACAGAATAAAATATGTACCAATTGTCTTTCGCCTACTCATTTAAATCAGGATTGCAGAAGTATATTTCGTTGTACACAATGTAAAAATAAGCATCATAGTTTATTACATGTGAACCATAACATAAATAATGAACTGGTTTCAAGGGCTAATAGGCCAGTAAATTCATTTCATACTGAATATACACATCCTGTGAAGAGTATGGAAACGGAAAATAATGGCCCGGAAAAGCAGTGTCCCTCTTGTAGTAAACATGATCAGATAAATGTCCAAACTCATCTATCGGTAAACGATGATAATATTCTATTACCAACAGCCTTAGTACAAATCAATCACTTGGGTGATAAGTTCAGTATTAGAGCTCTGATAGATTCAGCTTCCAAAAGATCGTTTCTAACTGAAAGAATACGAAATAGATTAAATTTAAAAACAGAACCTGCAGATTTTGAAATATGTGGATTAGGAGGTACTGTAGTATCTAATTCAAAGAAAATTTGTAATGTAACACTTTGCGCAGAGAAACATAATTTTATACTTGATACTCAAGCTATAATCGTTTCAAACTTAACAAGTTTGATGCCGTCAACAACAATTTCCAATCCTAATCTTGACGAGATCAGTGAATTGGAATTGGCGGATCCGAAATTTTATGTTTCTTCGCAGGTAGACATGTTATTAGGAAGTGATATATTACCATATATTTTACTCGAGGGGACTCGTCAACATGTTTTAGGAAATATGGTAGCACAAAATTCAGTATACGGATGGTTTGTATATGGCCCTTTCAAAATAAACTCCCTTTCACTCGTTACAGTTGATATAAATGAAAAAACTAGGGAATCCAATGAAATTTGTGTTCAGCTTAGGAAGTTTTGGGAAACTGAAGAGATATTTAACAGTAGTGTCTTATCAGAAGAAGATAAATTTTGTGAAAAACTATTTGCAAAAACCACTTTTCGACGAAAAGATGGAAGATATGTGGTAAAGTTACCATTCAGATCAGAGTTTCCAGAAATAATAAATCTATCTTCATCTCGCTACCAAGCAAAGAAACAATATCTTCACATGGAAGCCAATTTAGCTAAAAAATCAAATCTTCTGGACATTTATAATAATATATTGAAGGAATATATAGATTTAGGTCATATGAAAAAATGCAATTCAACTGAAATAGAAGAACATGGAAAATACTATTCATATTATTTGCCACATCATGCTGTGTTTAGACCTGAAAGTGCTTCAACAAAGGTTCGCGTGGTGTTTAATGGTTCACGAAAAACACAAAGTTCATATTCGTTGAATGATATCTTATATAGTGGACCAACCCTTCAGTCAGATTTAATGACTATAATTTTAAACTGGCGAAAATATGAATATGTATTCAATGGCGATATTGAAAAAATGTATCGTCAAATAATGATTAATGAATCAGATAGACCATATCAGAGGATATTGTTCCGCAATGTCACTACAGGTAACATAGAAGATTATGAATTAACTACGGTAACTTTCGGCATAAATTGTGCTCCTTACTTAGCTATTCGAACACTTCTACAATTGGCTGACGAATCTGAAACACTTAATCCATTAGCGTCATTAATATTAAGAAATGAGACTTATGTGGATGATGTGCTATCAGGAGGACATACATTGGAATCAGCAATAGAATCTCAGAAACAGTTGTGCACCGCACTAAATTCTGCAGGATTTCCATTGAGAAAAATAACAGCCAATCACCATAGACTATTAGAACATATTCCAAAGGAAAATCTTTTAAATGACGATTTATTGAAATTTAATGATTCAAGCTCAACGAAGACTCTTGGTATTTGTTGGAACGCTATGAGTGATACTTTCAATTACAAAGTCGAATCTATTTCTCTAGGAAGTACAGTAACAAAAAGGCAAATATTATCTTGCATTGCAAAACTTTTTGATCCGGCAGGATGGCTAACGCCTATAATTATTGAAGCTAAAATGCTTCTTCAGAACTTATGGCAAGATGGTGTAGAGTGGGATGAGAATGTCAATTCACATATATTTCAAAAGTGGAAATTGTTCATTGACAATTTTCATCATATCGATAGAATTCAAATTCCTCGTTGGGTGAATTTTCAACCTGAAAATTATATCCAGTTGCATGGGTTTTGCGATGCCTCAGAAAGGGCATACTGTGCCGCAGTATACCTTAGATCGGAGAATCCAAACCGAAGAAGCACACATTTGCTAGTGGCTAAAAGCAAGGTAGCTCCGCTAAAAAAACTTAGTCTTCCGCGCTTGGAATTGTGTGGCGCCTTACTTCTTTCCAAATTAGTAAGGCAATTGTTATGTGATAATTTGTTCCCAAACACATCTGTTTATTTATGGACAGACTCCACCATTGTTCTTGCTTGGCTTCAAAAACATCCATCTACGTGGAAAACTTTTGTAGCCAATAGAATCTCCAAAATTATTGAAAATGTCGTTGATGCCACGTGGAGACACGTACCTACATCTGAAAATCCAGCCGATCTTGGAACACGAGGATGCAAGCCTCAAGATCTAGTTAATAATCCATTGTGGTGGCATGGACCTCTTTGGCTTCTTAGCTCTCAAGATCACTGGCCAATGTTCTCTCAACCACTCCAAGACGCGCCAGACCAAAGAAAAATATGTCTAATTGCTTGTTCCACAGATCCAGCTCCATCTTCGTCTTTTAAGAATAAAGGGACTGTACTAAAACTACCTTCGAGATCTCAGGTACCGTCAGCAATAGCAGAAAGTGGAGAGGAACTTTCTATTATTAATAGTTTCTCAAGATATCACCGAGCACTTCGCGTTATAGCCTATGTCTATCGTTTCTACAATTTAGCCTCAAAAAAGGTTACAACTTTTCCAGAAACTATAACTCAGAACGAACTCAACAATTCTAAAGTTGTTCTAATACGACTGACGCAAAGGACATATTATTTCTATGAATATAACGACTTGTCCAACTCCAGAGCTATTTCTAAGAAAAGCTCGTTAATAACGCTGAACCCATTTCTAGATTCTAACGGCCTTCTACGAGTTAACGGTCGCTTAGTTAATTCATCTATGAGCTATGACGAAAGGTTTCCCATAATCATTCCATACAAATCGAACTTATGTGAAATGATTTTGAAATTTATTCACCAAAATCTGATGCATGCTGACGTTTCTTTAATGCTTAGTATGGTTAGATACCAATTTTATATTCCAGCTCTAAAGAGAGCCGTTAAAAAATGTATAAATAAGTGCTTAACTTGTGTTCGCTATAAGCAAAGGGTACTATCGCAAATAATGGCAGCTTTGCCAGCTGAGAGAACTACGTTCTCCTTACCGTTTACCTTTACAGGTGTAGACTTTGCTGGACCTTTTCAGATAAAAGCTGGGCATTTGCGAAATTCACCCTATATGAAGGGATACGCCTGCATATTCGTTTGCTTTGCTACACGAGCTATACACCTAGAACCATGTTCCAATCTTTCATCTGAGGCTTTTCTGGCTACATTTGATAGGTTTGTTGGAAGACGAGGTTTACCTAAGCGTCTGATGTCAGACAACGGTACTAATTTCGTAGGCGCTAGTAAAACATTGCTTGCTGAATATGCAATGTTTTTAGAACAATCCTATAGGGATATAGTTGAAAAATATGCTATCCACGGCTTCGAGTGGAAATTCATCCCACCAAGTGCCCCACACATGGGAGGCTTATGGGAAGCTGGAGTTAAAAGCTTCAAGCTTCATTTTAGAAAAGTTGTAGGAAACCATAAATTTAATTTTGAAGAATTCTCTACACTTTTAATTAGGATTGAAGGTGTTCTTAATTCTCGTCCGTTGTCTCCAATGACTGAGGATCCTAAGGATTTAGAAGTTTTAACTCCCGGACACTTTCTACGAGGTTCACCACTAATGGCGCCACCAGAAATGCCAAATGATGATCTAAATATGTCACTACTGAATCGATGGGAAAAATTGAAGGCCCTTCATCATCGATTTGCTCAACGATGGAAGACCGAATACTTGCAAGAACTTCATAAGCGCTACAAATGGAGATATCCAAAGAAGGAGTTGATTGTAGGAGATTTCGTCATTATAAAGGATGAACTACTTCCTCCTAGTGATTGGCGGTTAGGTCGCATTGAAACTATATATCTCGGATCTGATAAACGAGTACGAGTGGCTGATATCCGAACGCAATATGGTTTGGTTACTCGGCCGATAGTAAAACTCTGTTGGTTGCCAATCTTGGATAAGTAGCTTATACATAGTATTCAATTTGTCTAATTTTCAGTAATCTCTCATTACTATATCATTGTACTAACTATCCATCTTTCTCTCTTTTTTGTTTGTTTTTTTTTTTTTCTTTGTTCATATTTTTTTCAGATAAAAATGGAACCCATTCGTCGCTCAGATGTATGCCTAGTATGTTTCCAAAGGCATCATTTGCGGAAATGCAAAATATTTAACGGGTTTTCTATTAGACAACGCCTTTACTCCGTGAAGGTTCATAGATATTGTTTAAATTGCCTTTCCCAGTCGCACCAGGTTAAGGATTGTACCACAGCTTCAGCATGTCGCAGATGTGGCAAAAATCACCACACTCTATTGCACAAAGAAAGTGCTCAGTCGAATGTAGTTAGTTCTCCGCCAAGGCGTTCGGTCCAAGAACGCCTACAGTTACCAATTCGTGATCTTCGGATTCCGAACCGAGTAGCCCCACCTCAACAACGTCGGAGATCACAACATTCCGTTCGTTCAGCATCTCATGGAGAAACCCGTCGAGACACTACCGAAGATTCTGGGGCACTGACTGTAGCCAATGACCGCCGAAGACGCTCGAGGAGAAGGCCTACAATGGTGCAGCGGCAGTTAGCTGACCAAGCAGCCGGCCAAGCTACTACCCATCAGCTGTTGCGACAAATGATCGCTACTATGAATCGGCTTAGTGATTCGATCCTTGCACCCGTGCAAAGGGGGCGGCATGTTGAGGCCCGCGACAGCGCCTCCGAGACAGCAGATGAAGACTGCCTTGACTTGGACATAGAGCCCCTACTTTAAATGTGCCCCTTCTGCTCGCTACGCTTCTGAATGGTGCTTAAGGAGATTGACAGGTGTCAAAAACTGACGTCCTGTCAATCAACTTAAGCGTCATTGCAGTTTTTCTTTAATAAAAAAAAAACCTCAGCAGCGTCAGCAGCAAACAAACCCTAAAACCCAAACCTGAAAATAAAGGAAGTTATAACGTTTAACCAAACCTGTGTTCTTACTCACCTTGAACCACAAGTAAGTGCAACCTGCATTTTATTTCCAAAGTTAATTATTTGTAAATAATTAACTTTGGTTTTGTGTTGTTTCAACTACGTTGAAACAGCTCCAACAACAAATTTCCCTACTAGAGACAGAAATTTGTTTAGTATTCATATATAGAATATGACAAAATAAAACATTTTTGAATTTTGTTCAGAAATTTATTATAAAATTCATTGAAAATAATATTGAGTTTTTTTTTTTTAATTTTAGAGTCAACCTTCCAATCGAATAAACTTTAATTTTAGCAATTATAACAAATTAAAAATATCATGTGTTCTATATTATACCAAATCTAACTTTGTATGTACATATGTATATGTACACTCAGAAAAAAAATTCAGTAATTCGTAATGAAATCAATCCCGAACGGTTTTAGAAGAAGATTAAATTAATCCCAAAATGAGCTTGATTTGAGCTCTTCGATTCTTGCTTGATTTCAAAAAATTTCAACAAATTATAGCGAAAATATTCTTAACTAAATGAGAATTATACGTTCGAATGCAAACGAAAGTATTTTTGAATTAAGTAAAAATGAAATAGTCCTAAGAACAAGAACTAAGAATTAAGAATAAAGATTGAATTGAGTAAGAAATGGGATTAAAAGAAATTAAAGCAAAAATTAAAAATCTTTGGAGATTTTTCTTTCGGTGTATGTACATATTTATAAAAGCTAATAAAATGTTTATTACATTTTTACCTTTGAACAAAAACAAAAAAAATGTATTTTTCGTTTGCTTTTTATTTATTTATCTATATAAAATGTCCTGATTTATTATGACGTTAATAGAAAACAGCTTGTTTCATTTATAATATATGAGTTTGTATGTAGTCGAGTATAAAGGCAACAAAATTCTAACCATGCATTAAAAAATATATAAATTTCATTCATTTCGAAGATGCATATAAGTGTGTTTACGTGTTTGTGTATATATTATATTAAAACGAATATTGGTTATTGAATTCACAAATATTATACAGTTGACTTAACATTTAGTAAAAATCAAAGAATATTGAATACAAAATATCAAATGAACACACACGCTCTCACTTGCATACTCAAATAATTTTCAATATAAAATTTTGCAAAGAAAGAAGAAAATAAACTAAATGAAAAATAAAAAAAACATATTCATTTGAGCTTTAATATTTATTGGAAATTTTAAGAGAACTTTGTAGTTTTTTTTTTTTTTGAAAATATTCAATAATTTAGTTTGTGTGGAGGCAACTATTTACCAAGCTTGCTTACAAATAACTACTTATATAAGTACTTACAAATAAGGAGTCAGAAAGTTGTTTTAAAAACAAAAAAATTCCTCAGACAGGATACAAACCTGGGCTTCTTGTTCGTTGGTTCGCAGTCTTACCACACCACTGCTTATGGTTTTCACACAGAAAATCAATTTTCTTTCTGTGTGTGTGTGTAAAAAACAGAGTACTTGAATGGAATGCAGACGGTAAGTAGTTGTCATTGAAAAGTAAGTGGTTATGTAAGTACAAGGCATTACCAAGTTTCTGCTGGGATCCTAATGCATTTTTAGAAAATTCAACCATCTAGCTCTCTCCGTTCGTCTTCTATAGTGCTTTAACAGATGGACGGACATGGCTTGATGTCATCTATTTCAATGCATTTCAAGCAAAATAACTTAAACAATATCCCACATCTTCTACTAAGTCTCATATAAAAATCAACCATTGATAATTTTATGATTATTGTGGTAATTATTTGTTTCATTAAATGTTACGCTCTAATACAGATTAGGGGAACTTTAGCTTTATTTTCCTTTACTTTTATTACAAAAATTTTTAGTTAATTTTTTTTTTTCAAATATTTCATATTTCATCATAGAGAATTTCCATTCGTGACCATATAAAATGATATGATGATTTTTAAAAATTAAAATGCTTTGAACGGCATAAAATCAAATATGAAGTAGGAGAAGAAAAAACAAAACAACTTTAAAAAAAAATTGGTCAAACAAAGTAAAGTTTTTTGCTTTAAAAATAAAAAAATTGTTTAATGGAATTAATGATGCATTATACTATTTCTGCTTGCAAAGAGAAATATTTGTTTGGTAATTGTAAGAGGCTTAGTTTGCCATAATTTTTTTTTTTTTTGCAAATGAACATCGCTCTACACAGATACTTTACATGATACATGAAAACAAACTGGGAAAAAAATGCAACAAAAATGTATAGACTTTAAAAAGTATGCTACAATATTTGATATAGTATTTGTAAATTTATTCGTATAGGGATGCAGCAACAATGTGAAAAGAACTATCTTTGTGCATAGAGACTTTGCATATATTAAAAGGAAAATGTGCAACAAAAAAAAAAAATCAAAAATAAAACTTCATTCGAAAGAGGCATACCATAATGAAATATGTAAAAATTTAATTTTTTTTATTTTAACCCCCAAAAATATATTTTCTAAAATTATGACTACAAATAGCCAAAAAGTGTTGAAAAATTAACCACAGTTAATTAAATTTCTATGTCAGAAAATCTTTATGTTTTTTTTTTTGGGGTAACCTTCCTTTAAAACTAGAACTAGGCCTGTATCTAAGTCTATCTACAATATACAGTGGTATAGTATATTCTGTTAAAATATCTACATATCAATGATATATGAGGAAAAAATGGTTAAACAACAAAAAAAAAATATGTATGTTTGTATTCAAAGTTTCTAGCACAACATGCATTTACAGCTGCACGAAACTTGCAACTCTTTTAAATTTAGATACACACATAGTATATTTGCTTCTCGATATTGGACATCACAATGAGAAATATACGCCAGCTCTACGCATATCTTTGTTCTGGCTTTAGTCTCTGGTGTATTGTGAGAAATTTCTGTAGGGACAAAGAGTTGGGGAATTAATTAATTGTGTTGTGTCTTGTTTACTGCAAACTTAAGTTTGGCATGCTACTTTTTTAATTTAGAAAATATTTTTAACTTAAAGTTAAGTAAGATAGATAAATTCATACATTATTGACAGAGTTGCTAGAAATATTTCATAGTAAATTCGTAGTATAAATACAAATGTACATACATGTATAAGTATACTACCATGTATAAGTAAACTACCATTTGCAACAAATTTTCTAAATTTAACATCTTTATTAAATTTTGTAAAACTTTTTTATAGAAAATTTTGTTTTTTTTTTTTAAATTTAGTTTCCCGGCTAAATAAACCAAGAAAAACTGGATAATGAATTGTAATTACTTACCTAACAACATACTTTTCATTGACTACTACATATGATCTGGATTACATAGAAGTAGTCTAATAAGGTCTTACTAATAATGTGTTATATAAATACTTTCTAAATCATTAGTCATCTGCCAGTGAAGATACAGATGCTGATACTTTTTCTAATTACTTGTTATCGTGTATGGTAAGTACTTGCCTCCAATGACACCGTGTTAAAAAAAGGCTTAAAATGCTATTGTGATATTTGCATTTTAGCCTCTTACATGGTAATGAAAGTTTTTACTAGGATAGTAGTGGCTTATACATACTTAAGAACTACCTAGAAGGTGTCTAGTAATGACTTACAAATAACTAACTGAATACGTAAGTACTTACGTTTAAGCTTAATATTTTGTTTTGAATATATATAAAGTATATGTATATTTATTTCGTCAAATCTAATAGAAGAAGCAGTTGACGTATCCTAGAAGGCTATTTTTTCTCAAAAACTTCATATTTGCAGGTGAATGCAGTACTTACCTAACTCCATACTTGTAAGCGAGCGTGGAAGGTAATTGGCTCCAAAGTCATCACGATGTTAAAATAATGGCTTAAAATTCTATTGTGTTATTGGAATGTGTTCAATGTAAGTTTTTGCTGGGTAGTTATTTTCAATGCAGGATGTATCATACAAAAAAATCACCTAGGTCATAAGTGGTCCTAATGCGAGATTCTGGGGCGAATCGATTCCGCGATTTCTGAACTGACAAACTAGAACAGTATCAACTAACCTACTGGAGAACCCCTTAGAAAAATTCGCTAGGACAAACTTGTCAAAAATTCTCTCTGGTTCTGGTACATTTATTATATATTCTCTCTCTTTAGTAAATTTAACAAAAGTTAAATATCAGTAGTAAATTAATTTTCTAATAATATAAAATTGTTGCATATGATATGATATAAAAGAAAACGTTTTTAAATGTACATTTTAAGTTTCTGTAAGTTTACTCAAATATGGGAAAAATCTTTTTAAAAACTCTAGAGAATTTCTATGATACTTTAATGTTTTGTAAGCATAAATGGACGAGTATATAACTATGAAAATATGAATTCACATGTAAACGGAGATGTTGCATGTTTGAGTATGTTTGTATTTGTTGTTTGTGTATGTGTAAACATGCTTTATAGTTTGCAATTACTGCCTTATTTATTATGCCGAAATGGATTATCTTTTAAGCATCCTGGGAAGCTGCAAACACACATCCAAACACATACACCCAGAGTGCCAGAGAAATATAAAAGATGCACAAACAAATACCCAGATATATGGGAATAATAAATATGAATACAAGAGCTTGGAGTAGTAGTAAAAAATAAAAATAGCATAGAAAGCATTTATGCAAACGCTGCTATTTATGCAAAATTATGAAAATATAAATAGCAAGAGATGGAAAAATGGTATGCAGCACATATAGAAAATTTCTTGCTGCTTTATAAAAGAATCTGCTGTTTGCTTGTTTGTCATTATCGTCAACATTATTTTCTAACAAAAAAAAGGATTCATATATCCCTAACATATCAACGTTATTTAAAAATACAAACTTGCACAGATATACACATTTGCTTACACATACATAGGTATTTAAATGTATCAACATTAGACCGACTCACTGTGTAGGGAAAGCACGATGGTGATTTTATTACAACTCTGAAAATTTACCTTTTTTGTTATGTGATGATTCCTAAAATATTTGCAACCTGAAGATGGTCGTTCGTAAGCATTTTTTCAAAAACGATCCAGCTCATCAACGCTTTTTTTTATTATAACGTGAGAAATATGTACATACGATTAGGATTTTTATAATACTGTATATAAAGTAGGCGTTGGGTGGGCGTGGTAAATATTTTA